TAAAATAAAAATAAACGTTAGTAAAACTTAAGATCCTTACAATGCAGTCTCCACAAGTCCTAAATTCTGCTACTAAGTGCCTCAATAAGTTCTAAATTTTTGCTGCCCCTTAATTTTGGGTCCCAGTGCTTTCCCTAAATCCTAAAAATTTTATGATCCCTTTATTTTGTTACTCGGGGCTTCTTTTTGTCTTCCCTACATTCCATAACCCAGTGCGGCCATGCTCTGACGACGGTTCTGGGTTTATGCAAATAAAAAAAAATCAGTTATTCTTAATTCAAATAGCACTAAATGTAATCTTTTGGTGAGTTAATGAAATCTTTTTTTAGTATGGAAGGAAATTTTTGTTTAATTTTTCCTTGCCAACATTTAGCGCATTTAACTTAAATCTGTAATAATCGCCGAGCATAATGTCAACATAAAAGGTTCCCATACTTCTTTGTTATTCAATTACTAATAGAAAAAATTGTTTAGGCGTCACTGCATGAGTCATTACTCAAGTTGTCATGTGCTGATAAACAAAGGGTAATGAAAGTAAAGTATAATAAATAATGATTCGTCAGGTTGGCGTGAGGGATATAAAGTATTAGAAATTGTAAAATCAACGATGTTTCTATGTACAGTCAAAAGTCTTTAATCCGGACGTCCATAATATGGACCTCAAAGCTACAAACTTTCTGTGCATGTGTCAATGCATAATGCATTAACGCATGTGTGTTTAATGTATAATGGACGGTATAAGCTAAGCTAAAATTATCTAATTATCTATTTCAGTTAATGTTGCAGATTGCGCTGTTCCTTAATCTTCTAATTGGATCCGGCTTATTATTTCTGCAGACTGTTAGAGCAATTTTATAAAAGTAAGCTTGAACTTTCGATTATGTCAAAAAGAATTTTCGATTCTGGAACTGCTAAAGGATCTACAAAGCAAAAGCATGCTTCGATGTCCATCAAACAAAAAGTGGAATTGCTGCAAAAAATGGATAAAGGCATATCCTTTGTTTCTCTAATCATTCCGAAACCTGTTTATCAATTTCACACTGCTCTGCGGGGGGGGGGGGGGGGGGGGGGGGGGAAGACGTCGCAGCACGCAATAAACTGTAGGTTGATCTGTCAGCACTATCCTTATCTTCAGGGCAGATGTTTTTATTTTATTTAGCTTATAATTCCGTACTAAATGTAGTATTTCATCTCGATGTACTCCGTCTTTGATGTGATTTAAATCAAATTCCTCGTCATTATAAATATCACGAATACACATCAAATAGTTTTCTAGTTGCAATTTTCTATTTTCGACTATGCGTAATGTAGGCGTGTGTGCGTCGAAAGAAATGTTTAATAAAGTAAATAAATAAATATTAAGCTTTTTTTTTTTTTTTTTTTTTTGTAAATTTTGATACCCTTTAGATCATAATTGCTCTTTATTTCATAAATTACGGTTTCATATTTTTAATTTTATAATTTCTGCATTCCATATTACCAGATTTAAACTGATGATCTATAATCCGAAATTAATAAATTAATTAGTCGAATACCTCTTTACAAACTGTACCTCTTAAGTTGCTTTAGTACATATTTGAAGAATTCTGGGGGTAAAATGCAGAACCATCCACTACTTGGCGTGTTTTTAAGAACTGCATATACTCAGCATCCATGTACACATCGATCTATTTCCACTTAAAAGAACGGCTGATCTTTGGAACATGGTAACAATTAGTTTGGCGACATTTTGGAGGCGACAAAGGTTACTACCTAGGACTTTGGTAATAATGTGGTAATAAAGTACTCAGTTCCGATTACGCATTATTTTGTGCGAGGGAAATGAGAGATCATGAGATACGTCATGTGACATTAATGGACAAATTACAGTTCTTTAATCGGAAAAGGGGGTAAATTTGGAAAAATATCTGTAGTACTACATTATTTTGTATTAAGCTTCATTGTGTGTTGTGTGAAATAGTGTTGATTAATTTTCGGATTGCATGGCGCTATGTTAAAGTGAATTCTAAATTTTTAATGCGTTTATCTGATAATAATAATAAGTTGAGATTGTGCGAAAGGAAGGATATTACACATAAGTTTGAATGGCGGGTACAAGAAATCTGGTGAAAATGGACATTTTGTGAAACGTAATGTAAGGAAGGGTACGTGGTTTGCTGAAAGTCGTTTGAGTATTGGGTGAAATTTTATTAATTTCTTATTAGTGGGTGCATAGACTGCCAGTTGACTACTGGATTTCGGATTTAGAAATTAGCAGTAGTACTGGCAGCCGATTAGAACTCTTTCTGTAGGGAAGTGTGCGTGCCACGTAATGAAGATCTGAAGAAGATTAGGTAAGTTAGTATTTTTAATCATTTGAGGATATTATTTTTATGCATTGTTCTAAATGTAAGGAGTAAAATAATTAATATGGTATTATTGGAAAATTGTTTATTAGCAATGATTTAGTTTAAAGTAATTAGGATTGTAATCTAATTTTTATTAATTTAATGTATGTGCTTATTTATATTTTAAGTAGTGTTTTTAATTTAATTATATTTTCATTTAATGATCGTGATTTTTGAGTTATATGTTTGTAGTATTTTGGAATACGTTTGAGTAATATACGTTGAGTATTTTTATGCATTTTCATGAAATTTTTCTAATTTATGAGAAAAAAGCAGTGTACATGGATATAGTGAAAAGTGTGCACAATGCCATTTTTGTGCAATTCTGGGATGTTTTTTCAAGTAAAAATAAGTCGACGTGTACATTATTTAGTTAGATTTTAATTAAATGATAGTTATTTTGTGAATTTTATGTTTGTAGAAATTTGGTATACATTTCAGTTGAAGTAAACGTGCATGGAAATAATTTAAATATTTGACACTAAGTATTTGTAACCATTTTTAATGTTTGCGGTAGAAATTCGTTGGTGACGTTTATAATATAATAGATAATTTAGAGGTAAAAGTTTTTGGATATTTTATTTATTTTATACGTGGAAATGTTCATCTTTGGAAAGGGTATATACTTTTTCGTGATCACGTAATTTCATATATGTTCTTTTTACCGGATTTAAAGATTCACAAAATTTTCATGCATTTTCGTGAAATGTTTCTAATTTATGACAAAAAAGCAGCGTACACAGATATAGTGAAGAGTGTGCGCAATGCCATTTTTGTGCAATTCTGGGATTTTTTTTTTTTAAGTAAAAATAAGTCGACGTGTATATGATTTAGTGATATTTTAATCAAATGATAGTTATTTTTGAATTTTATGTTTGTAGCAATTTGGTATACATTTCAGTTGAAGTAAACGTATATGGAAATAATTTAAATATTTGACACTAAAGTATTTGTAACTATTTTAATGTTTGCGGTATAAAATTCGTTGGTTGAGTTTATAATATAATAGATAATTTAGAGGTTAAAAGTTTTTTGGATATTTTATTTATTTTATACGTGGAAATGTTCATCCTTGGAAAGGGTATATACTTTTTTGCAATCAGGTAATTTTATATATGTGCTTTTTACTGAGTTTAAAGATTCACAAAATTTTCCTGCATTTTCGTGCAAATTTGTAATTTATGAGAAAATAGCAGTGTAGATGGATAAAGTTAAGAGTGTGTGCAATGCCATTTTTGTGCAATTCTGGGATTTTTTTTAAGTAAAAATAAGTCGACGTGTAAATGGTTTATGTGTATGCGCTATTCTGAAAAATGTGCAACGAGTTTGCGATTGTGCACTTTTTCCCAATTTTGCGCAGTTAATATTTGTCATGATTAAGCAGTTTGTGTTACATAAAATTTCTAGCATAAGTTGTAATTCGGCTAGTAGATTGTTGGAAAAAAAAGTGTTGAGTAAATAAAAGAAAAGAAGAAACGTCTTTACTTCGTGAAGACAAAATGGCGGAGAAAAAAAAATAGAGGGTTGCTGTAGCAGAGTTGGTCGCCAAATTTTCGCCAAGTTACCATAATCTAAAGATCAACCAAAAGAACATCCCAAAATTACACAAAAAAGGCATGGTGCACTCCCTTGACTTTATCCATGTACATATTGAGTATTTTCACTTAAAAAGTCAACCCACTGCTTGGCACGTTTTAAAGATTTCACAAACTCCCTATCCATGTGCACATCGACCTATTTTCACTTTAAAAAAAATCATAGAATTGTACAAATTAAGCATTGGTCACTCCCTTGACTTTCTCCATGTACACATCGATGTATTTTCACTTAAAAAGTCAAAGGAAATTGACAATAATCGAATTCTTCTTACTCTTGCAAAAAGGGCCAAAATAAGTGGGTGATTCTGCACTTCACTCCATGGCGCTTATTTGGCGTAATTTGTTGTGCGCAAGACGGTTACCCTAATTTTCTGATTAGGGATGATTATCTTCAGACACCCAGCTAGGAATCTTTATCGCCATAAAAACCGTTGCCAAATCATTTGTTGCCATGTTTCAATGATAGCTGAAATTTCGTTAAGTGCCGGTTACGGAAACATTCCCAAAAAAATGAGCACACATTCAAATGGTTCATTCGAAATGAATACTACCAAGCTTTTCTGCAAATTTTAAAGTTTCGATTTGGTGACGTTTAAAATTTAAGTGAAGGTACCAGGTATTGATGTTTAGTGAAGATAACTTATAATTAAGTTAATCCACACAAAACATTAAAATAAACTGATTTAAAAAAAATCGGCTAAAGTGCAGAATCGCCCACTTACTTGATTGGCGCTTTCTACAAGAGTAAGAAAAATTGGATTTTTGTCAATTTTCTTTGACTTTTAAAGCGAAAATAGGTCAATGTGTACATGGATAAAGTCAAGGGAGTGCGCAATGCCATTGTTGTGCAATTCTGGGATGTTGTTTTAAGTGAAAATAGGTCGACGTGCACATGGATACCGAGTATGTGCAATTCTTAAAAACGCGCCAAGCAGTGGGCTATTCTGCACTTTCCCCAAAAATTCATCGCATTATATGAAAAATAAAACAGATATGAAAATTAAAGGGCACTTACGAAAGAAATACATTTGGGATTGTGGTATATTGCTTGCTACAATGAATCTATCTAAATTAGTTGCAATGACGTTTAAACACATCTGCTCAAGTCCTTGATACCTTATAAATATCATGATGAATTATTTTAATACAACTTTAAGTTTAAATTTTCACTATATTTATTCCGTTCCTTTACAGACAGAGTACACACGTCTTGTTTTGCACCTGCTAAGTCTTTCTGCAGCGATGGGTGAAAAATCAAGCTTAGGTGCGAAGGAAAGGTATATAGAAAAAGGGTCAATTTCGGATTTCAGAGGAGAGTAAAGGAACTTCGTATTAAGACAGACAGACAGACAAAGTAGACAGATGTCTTGTTTTGCACCCGCTAAGTCTTTCTGCACAGATGGGCGAAAAATCAAGCATAGGTGCGAAGGAAAGGTATATAGAAAAGGGGCAATTTCGTATTTGAGGAGAGTAAAAAGGGAACTTCGTACATCTTGCACGAGTTCAAAAGGTCAGGAAGAAAAGATGGGACAAAATAAAATTTAAAATAAATGGCCCAAAAAAATAGAGAGGGGAAAAAAAAAAAAAAAAGGGCCTATAGAAGAAAAGGAAAAGAAGTAGAAAATATCCTAAAATACGATGTTTTCCATGATGTAGTTAAAAGGAGGAAAAATTTGTCTTCATTTACAATAAATAGTGTCTCACAAGTGTGTGGTGTGTGTGTGTGGTGAGTGTGTTTGTAATGATGAATAGATGTGTTACTGGGGAGAAAAAAATATTGACGGTGTTAAAATTGCTTCGTATCAAGGTATTTAGCAAATGCAAATAAATGTATGCAGTAATAAAGTAATATGTATTGCATCTGAGATATCAACAAAAGTCATCATACAAAGTATATATTAATAAACTAAAGTACTTGTGCTAATTTTCGTTCCCAACATTTTCATACCTTTTTGGAAAAAACAGCAGCAGAGACAAACAAGATAGAACCATATACAATACAAGACCACAACCGTACACACACACACACACACACAAACCAAAAAAAAAATATATATATATATATATATATATATGTGTATGTAAATTACTGAGTATATGTATTAAAAACACAAATTAAACATAGTATTTATTAATTATATATCATACTATCATAATTTATTATTTTGCTATCATTATTTTATTGACTGCTACTTAATTAACACAATGAGGCACACTGTTATTCATATAAGCTCATACTTCTAAGAATTTATTTAAGGCAGTGAAGAATATTCCATCCTTTACATATGGACATTTAACAGATAGCAAGGAACAGTACGAGGAAAAAAAATCAGTGAGGTATAATATTATTTAAAGGCAAAAATATATTTCAGTGATCTAAAAAAAAGAAACCAAAAGATTCGAGAGGGAAGTAGCGCGATGCCCCAAATCCTCAATTTTCCCTCTCACGAGATTCCTGGAAACAAGATAAGGGGGCTTTGTAAGTGGTGACAGAAGTGAACTGATAAACGTTGGCGTCTGTTCGGCAATTGTTTAACAAAGGAAGCCACAGGCAATAAGCAATTTCAAGTATTTTTTAATGCTAAAAACTGATTAAAAGTTAAAATTTATTGATTAAAGGCACATATTTATAGAATTGATTGGGTTTAGATGAAAGAAGGGTACTCATCTTAAAATTCCAGCCTTTCGTTGTACTTCCTCACATTGTCCGCTGTTTCATTCTCATCAACATCGCAACTGAAAAACTTTTGAAAACGTGTAGGTATTGTAGAAAAATCATTATTTCAAAGTAATTTAATTGATATTCCCCAACGGGAAAGGAATTTTTTTCACTTTTTTACGGAGCGCTGCGAACGTCCAGCCGCTTGCCTCGGTGATCGCAGCGCCCCCGGAACTTCGTATTTGACGACAGATGTTTTATTTGAGCGTTACAGTTATAGTTAAAAGACTGATTTTTGTATGGACGTATGCATTTAGAATACGGTTTTTAGTAAATATTGAGTAAACAAATAACGTAATTAATTACTGATTTAAATCAAATAAATATTTTAAAAGCAACTAGGAACATAAATAAACATTTCTATGGCACGTATTTAAAATATGGCTATCCAGATGAAATTAGGATTTATTTCTTACTCGAAACTGGCAAACGTCATTTTCAAAACAAAGCTTAAATTTGTTTATCAAAATGTACTGAGCTTTATTTAGTTGATTTACACCACTGTCAGTAAATAATTAAGGGGAACCAGGTTTGTTGTGCATATGTTTTTTTTAATAATCTTTTGTATGAAAGAAAGTTGAATATTGTGAACTATATTTATTCATCACTTTCTGTTAAAATATGTTGTATATTTATAGTGTTTTTTCTATTGTATTCATAGTTGTATAGGCAGCAACTAAAAAGTATGTTTCAAAGAAGGGGAGCCCCCTGGATTGGTAATTAAATTTTATACTTTTAATTATATTTCCAGTTCTTTTATGCGAAAACTAATGCTTTAAATTTTGAAAGTCTTTTATGCTGTATATTACTTTACGTAAATTTGAGAATTTAAATTGTTGAAAGATTCAAGGAACCTTGAATGTTAAGTAATTAGAAAATATGTAGCTCTTTGGCGCAATCTGGGACATGCAACTTATGTTTTTGGCACTATTTCATATGCAAAATATGAAATAATTAGATATAAGGTTCAGATCTGTAAGGTATAGGAAAAAGCGTATGCTTTCAGTAATGCTGAAAACCCAATAGCGGCCGAGCGGTAAAGTTGCTGAACACTAGTAGTTCAGTCCGAATTTTGAATCCCGCAAACGGGCTAGCTGCATGGGCGTTTTCGTAGTTTTCCCCGTGTGTAACATGTATACAAGCCAGTTTCTCTTAGAAAGCCTCCACGTAGGCATCCCTCCCCTTAGGCAGATAGCCCTCGAGGCTCTGCTATAATCACACACACACTCAGTAAATCTGAAATTTTGGTGTGTGCGTGTTGGAGTGATTTTGATGTTGATTTGGAACAATTTGACTTTTAAGTGAAAATAGGTCAATGTGTACATAAATAAAATCAAGGGAGTGCACAATGCCAGTTAAACTTTACTTTACAACACTTAAACTTTTATGTAAGAGGTGCTACCGGAATTGTTGCAAGATGTTCCGGCTGTCATTCGTGATCGCATGTGGTTCTAGCATGATTTTGCACCAACCCATAACCATGTGCGAGTCCGCAATTACTTGGATGGGACATTTCTGGGTCGATGGATTGGCTGTGGTAGACTCGTTTGATGGCCACTCCGTTTGCCAGATTTATCCAGCTTGGATTTTTTTATGGGGCTATTTGAAGAGCATCATTTACGAGACTCCCGTTGACTCACTGAAGGACCTCGTTGCACGACTATCCATTGCAGCTGCAATCATGCACGAAATGCCTGTTGTTTTTCAAAATGTTCATCAATCCCTTCTGTGATGTTACCAAGCATGTATTACTGCTGGTGGTCACAATTTTGAACATTTATTTGTGAATACTGTATTGCTACGAAGATGCACTTTGCGTTGCTTTTGTACATAAAAACATTTTCCTGTCGTGTCATATTTTTGCATTTCTGCCTTAACCCATTAGCCGCTGGTGTTGCGTTGATGCAACGGTCAATATAAATGCGTATATAAATATAACTACCTAAGATATTTTATACCAACAGATGATTTTGTGTAGGGAATATTATGAAGATTATTTCTGTAAAAAAATATTTGCCTTCAAGAATCATTTTGTTTATAATAATTAATCTCGTACTTTAAGTAAAATTTTCGACGAGGTATTTTTGCTGAAAATATTTAAGGAAAGAATTGCCGTCTTTATGAATGATCTATTTTTAGTTAAGGTCACTGTTTATCGGAACATTACATCAGTCAGATATTTATATTTGTGTTGGGAAGGAAGGAAAAACAGGTGTTGCGTTGATGCAATGTCAGCAGGAAACGGGTAGTCAATCTCCTTTTTCACTCATTCCTTTCGATTTTCTGGTTCATGTGCTGGTTGTTTAAAAATGCCTAGAATGAGGTACCTTACATTAGAAGAAGCCCTTCAAAGATTTTTTGATGAAGAAACAAATGATGATAATGTTAATAATGACCAGAATGAAACTGATATTGTTGTTGTTCCCCCAGAAATTGCAGAGGTTAGTGACGAAGAAGAAAGGAATGGCAATGTTTTAAATAATGATAATGATATTTTACCAAATGATACTGCTGAGGAAGTTGAAATTCACCTAAGAAGTAAGTTTCAGCCTTCTAAAAGCAGTTATAATCATACTAAAAAGTTTAAAAATACACTTAGTGTGGCATTATACACTTAGTGTGGATATATGTATATATACGTCTCTGTACACATATACATATACAGTACAAAGTCTTTTATCCGGAAATCCATTATCCGGAATGATCTATAATCCGGACCTCAAAGCTACAAACTTTCTGCCCATGTGTAGCATTTACGCATGTGCATATGCGTTTATGCATGCACGTTTAATGTATAACGGACGGTATAAGCTAGGCTAAAATTATCTAATTATCTATTTCAGTTAATGTTGCATATTGTGTTGTTCCTTAATCTTCTAATTGGATCCGGCTTATTATTTTTTGCAGACTGATAGAGCAATTTTATAAAAAGTAAGCTTGAACTTTCGATTATGTCAAAAAGAGTTTCGGATTCTGGAGCTGCCAAAGGATCTACAAAGTGAAAGCATGTTTCGATGTCCATCAAACAAAAAGTGGAATTGCTGCAGAAAAATGGATAAAGGTGTGAAGAAAGTGACAGAGACATTAGTGAAAATGAAAAAATTTCGATTGACAAGTTAGTCGGTATTCTCTACACAGCAATTACAGGACTTGAACAGCGGAACTGAACAAGAAATTATAGCTATTTATAGAATTAAGGAAAAAGTATTAGCAAAAAAAAAAAAAAAAAAAGAAGCAACTTAAACAACTTGCATTGAAAGAAATGTTTAATAAAGTAAACAAATAAATATTAAACTTTTTTTTTTTTTTTTTTTTTGTAAATTTTAATACCCTTTAGATAATAATTGCTCTTTATTTCTTAAATTACGGTTTCATATTTTTAATTTTATAAATTCTGCATGCCATCTTACCAGATTTAAATTGATGATCTATAATCCGGAATCGCTGAAGTCCCGACGAGTCCTGATTAAAGACTTTGTACTGTATATATATGTACATCCATTCTGTTACCCAGCTTGATGTATATATATATATACATCCATTCTGTTACCCAGCTTGATGAGCTCAGTTTTCTCATTATGTGTGAGTAAATTGTGACTTTAAAAGTGATTAAATGATGTTGTTAAGCTTTTCATGCACTTTAGTTAATTTGCATACAATAGTTGGAGAATTATCAACAATTTAAAAGTTTAAGTATTGCTAAGCCTAATAAGGCTGCCATTTGTTTGCATTTTAAACTCTTAGTAGAATAGTGAATTAGCTCAGTTTGCACACAATCTTCAGTGTCTTTTTGCTGAGTGGGACCAAAAGTAAACTTTCAGTTTTATGCACTGAAAAATTTGTTTTTGTGCCCACTGATTGAATCGCTTGTTTTTGCGCAGAAACTTACATTTTAATTGTAAAAGAATTATTTTTAACTGTATTTGGTGTTTTAGTTTTTCTGTATTTTACAATTTTTAATGAAGATGCTTTGAATTTTTATGTATTTTTGCCATGTCACAAAGTGAGAATTGAATTAATTGAATGAATAATATATCTGTTGAATATATCATTCTGAGAAATATATCATTTAAACTTATTTCCTTGAAATTGAAGGAAATGGAAATAAGTTTAAATGAAATGCAGCAAAAAATGTGTATAATTTAATAGCACGTACATGGAAGTCATGTGGTGTCCACATCAAATATTGTATTTTTCATTATTGCTACTGCTTGTTGCTTCTGTCCTCATGCAAATGGATTAGGTTTTGAACTAATTTTTACTTTGTATTTTTCATTTATATATATATTGTGTGTGTGCATATGAATGTGTAATATATGCAGGATGGTGTGTGGGAGCGGAAGATTTTGAATTGCATTGTACACAGTCATTGTTAAATATAGCAACAGTAAGACGATAATGGCTAATCTTTGGAATATGGTAACAGGTAGTTTGGCGAAATTTTGGTAAGGCGATAAAGGTTACTAGCTAGGACTTTAGCAGTGTACATTGATAAAGTCAAGAGTGTGCGCAATGCCATTTTTGTGAAATTCTGGGAAGTTTTTTTAAGTGATAATAGGTTGACGTGTGTATTAATACCGTATATATGCAATTCTGCACAATTGATTCTGCACTTTCTCCCAATTTCGCACCTAATCTTCATCATGATTAAGCACTTTTGTTCCATAAAAGTTTTAGCATAAGCATAATTCGGCTAGTAGATTGCTGGAAAAAAAATGTTGAGTTAAAAAAAAAAAAAAAAAAATGCCTTTATTTTGTGAAAACAAAATGGCGTCCAAAAAAAAACTAGCAGGTTGCTGTAGCAGGGTTGGTCGCCAAATGTTTGCCAAACAATCGCCAAGTTACCATAATCCAAAGATTAACTACCATGATAATGTAGTATATATAGTATAGTGGCATTTCATCGTGATTTCATGGTGAACAGCATATTACAAAAACAATGATAGTTTTAAAACTGCACTACATCACTTTCCTTGTTCTTTTTAGTTGCCCTGTTATGATACGGGGTCCTCGGCTCAGACTGTGAAGCAATGGGTGTGCAATAGGGTCAGCGTTGAAACATCAAGGAACAAGAAAAACAGTACAAACTCAAGAGATTATCCAAGCAGTAACTGTAGCGATTGAGCAAAGTCTGCTGTGAATGAATCTCAGCATTCAGCAAGACAGAGCTACAGTTTACACAGCGAGGATGTCGATTATCACCTTAGACTCTTTTGGTAGACATATCATGTCCAGGAATGACAATATGACCTGGCCTGTAAGATTGTCTGATTTGACAGTGTGTGATTTCTTTTTATGGGGCCATTTAAAGCATTGTGTATTCACTAGTCGTCCTCTTACACTGGATGAACTCAAAGCTGCAGAAAGTTATGATAAATATCCCTTCATGAATGCATTAATGTTACCTCAAAAAGGTATGCAATTTAAAGGAGCTTACCCCCCCTTCCAAAATGTTTACTTTTGTTTTTATGTCATTGGCATACTTGTACCTTGTTATATCTGTAATTATGAAAGAATGTATATAATATTACTGTGCATTAGGCATTTTCAAAATCTCCCACTCCCCACCCTGTATGTGCAAACATTTTGTGTATGTTCATACTATCCATACATATACACACACATATGTATTACCAAATAGATATAATCACATATGTATCACCCCATATGTATTATCTATACTTAGTATATGAACCTGTGTATATTATACTAAGTATAAGGCATGGTAAAGAGCTGAATTAACTATTTTTCATTGCAAATCTTTGCGCTTCTGATGAAATTTTCATATTTGGATTATTGATTTTGACAAGTTAGATGAAGGAACGAAAAGTCTTACATACATAGGTTCAATCCTGTTGCTTATGCAGTTACATATTACATGTACACTGCGAAAAAAAAGGGGGGGACAGTTCTATATCTCCCATTCTACTGGGCCGATTGATGAAATTCAACTTGCTTTTTTCATGTCTCGAAAGCATGACTTAGGATATGTATTAGATTTATATATAACATTGTTCTAATATAGGTATTTTGACACAAAATCGGACTTTTTCTGAAATAACATACCAGTTGTTTTCATATTTAAATTCTACGACTCAAATTACGCCAAACTACCAAGTTTTGTAAAAATTGCACGAGTAGTTTTTAAAAAATTAGCTCCTCAATCTTAATTGAGTTTGGTATATATTTATTAATCTCTCTTTTTGTTATTAAACTTATTTGATTCTTCCTTTCACATTTCAAAATTTAGGTTCATTCCAAATAAAATTCCAAGTAAAATTTTAGCTCCTCAATCTTAATTGAGTTTGGTATATATTTATTAATCTCTCTTTTTGTTATTAAACTTATTTGATTCTTCCTTTCACATTTCAAAATTTAGGTTCATTCCAAATAAAATTCACCCATTTTTTATGATTTATTTTCAAAATTCGTATTTTTAAATAATTTTTATAAATTTTTCAAAAAAAAATTTGAATTATAATCTATAAAATTTTTACCATCGTCTTAAAGTAGACGTATTTCTAAGCCTACCTGCAAAAAATTACAGTTTTTTTATTCAAAATTTCCGAAGATATTCGTGAATTTATATATTGGTGCGTGCATTTTGAAATTTGGCGTATTTGTTGAAAGCGTAAAACATCAAATGTGGCTTAGACACTTTGATAATTATTTGGAAGTAGAAACGATGCGACTCGTTTTCTCACTCATGCACAATATAAAAAGATAGGAACGAGGTGCCTGTTTTTCCGCTCTGGTATAATGGAAGGGAAAGGAAAATTGGTTGCCACATATTAAGAAATTCGTTAAGTGAATTATTCTTGGCGCAAACTGAAAAAAATTGTGCCAAGATAAATTTTTGAATTTCTCTAACTTTCTCACCAAATTTTACAAAATTTAATATTTAGGCATGATTTAAGTCGTAGAATCAAAATATTGAAAAAAATTTGGTATGTTATTTCAGAAAAAGTCCGGTTTTATGTCAAAATATCTATGTTAGAACAACACTATATATAAATCTAATATTTAGCCTAAGTCGTGCTTTCGAGACGTGCAAAACGCGATTTGAATTTTGTCAATCGGCTCAGTAGAACAGGAGCTATAGAACTGTTCCCCCTTTTTTTTTTCTTTTCTTTTTTTTTTTTTTTTTTTTTTTTTGGTGCAGTGTACAAGTTTAATCCTGTTGGAACTGATAATCTTTAACCTTACCTAATTCTTGAATCTGCAGCGAAGTTTCTAGTACTTACGCATTAGAACACCTGCCTTGGCACATTTTGTCATATTTTTTATGCAAAAAAAAAAAAAAAAAAATTATAATACTTGCAAATAATTAGTTATGCATATTATTACATACATGTTTTATATCTTAGTTAGGTACTTCTAGTGAAAATTAGTCGACAAATTGGTTTACAAATGATTTTTTGTTTTTTTGCTCTGATTCAAAACATTTGTTCCCCCCAGCAATTTTGTGGTAAAATACTGTATTCCCATGAGAAATTTTTTCACAGTTTCTTCCATTGCAAGCAATTCTCAGAAGTGAGTATTTTAAAACTAAATTCAAGACAAAAAGATTGCATAGTTTCTCCATAAAAACAATTGGAACTGGAGGTTTAGCAAGTAACATTGCCATTTTTTGAATAGACAAAGTCTAATGAAAATGGCCATGCTTGACATTAAAAATTGAAGACTTGGCATGGTCACCTGAGGAATTATTAAGGTCACATGGTCATGGTCACCTGAGGAATTATTAAGCACATGGCCATAGTTAAGAGAGGAATTGTCATGCACATAGTTGCTAGAGTTTTGCACATTCTGAAAATTTGGTGACTTCTACTAAGGTGGATAGTTTATTGAAGAATCTTGTATCAAAATATGATTACATTTCCTTCCATAAATTAGAGTTTAACTATTTTGATTAATTAAGGTATACTACAAGGTTGTGACTTTTTGAGGGTAAAGTTTTTTTGTCATTAAGAACTATGAATTTCTAAGATATTCTAATTTATTGTTTGACATAGCCATTAAACTAGAAATGGTCCCTTGTGACTAAACCTAATAGAGTTGAATTTGAATTTGCTGCCATCATGTTGGTGTGGAGGGATGTGTGTGAAAAAAAAAAAGCAAACATGTTCTTTTTCATGATATTTCTTCTAGTCTTTCAGCTCACTTTGAGCTTCATGATTCAATTGGATTCTGAAGATTATGATTGATTTGAAGCAGATATTCATTGAAATCTAATATAAAATGTATAAATTTGTAGTGTAATAACTATAAATTTTTATAGGGTTTGTTGAAGCCCAGAAGACTATTGAAGCTTTGAAAGAAGAGGTAATTTTTTTACTTTATATAATATTCTTATAAAATTATTTCATGATGTTATTTAAAAATTTGTCCTCGAATAGTTCACATTTCAAAATTTTTCAGTTTATATTCCTAATTATGCAAATTTAAAAAAATCTTTAAAGAAAGTGGTACCATTCTCAATTTAAAATTTCTTTCTTTCTTGGAAGACCTCTGAGGTTTTGAAGGACTTCATTTCTTATTCCATATCTGTCTTCTTTCAGATTTTTCTGAGATGTTATGTTTTTTCATCGAAAGTTTGGTACTTATGTATTATCCCACTGACCGTGAAAGTTGTGAGAGATCTCTCCAAAGTTGTGCCAATATTTCTATGAAAGTCTGAAGGAAGTCTCTTTGTCTAATAAACTGTTAGTTTTTTATCCACATCATGTTTGTGCTACTTAAAATGGCTTTCATCAATTTCTAGTTTTGTTAAGCTCCCCAATTTTACCAGAAGTTCTGTTTAGAATGTTATTAGTGTAAACTTTGCACTGGTAGTCATTCCATTCTGTTACTGTTTTGTTGACCATATTCAGCTGTCCACATTGTCTTCATTAATACGTACTTTTTTATGGTAAATACACACTTTTTTTAATGGTAGGATCTCATAACTTTGAAAATAATCTGGTGTTTGCTGTGTTATTCAAGACAGGTTCCAAATTTTAATCCTTTCCCCCCCCCCCCCCCCCAAAAAAAAAATGCAAGAGAAAAAATACAGTAATAACAATTAATTTGTATGCTTGTTCGTAAAAACAAAAAATGGTTTATTGAGAATTAATTACATCAGAGAAAGTGCAGATGTTATGAATGATGTGCAGATGTTGTTACATCATGCTTATTCATAATTCGCACTGCTCGCATGTTCGATGAGATAATGTGTAGGTATCAAGAGGTTTGTTGTAAATGGTATTGGAACTGCTATGGCTGTTTTTCTAATTGCCTTCAAATTCTACTGTCTTTTTATGATAGGATGTGGGATTTAGAGACACTGTAGTTGCAAAGTAATGAAATGGATATTCAAATTATTTTATTTTCATTGTTCTAAAGTTAACAGAGATATTTAATGTCTGTGAGATCGTTTTTAAAATTCTTCAAGCAATTGCCTGAATTGAATTATCATTATGATTCATTTTGTAGTATAATAAACGTACTAGAATTATTGAAATTTAATGAAGCTTCCACTTGTATCTAATGGCAGTAACAGCTATCAAATCTGTGCTGTAAAATATGTGTATGTTATTAATGATAATAAATATGTTTGCATTTTAGGCTGAAATAGCTGAAAGAAAGCTGATTAAAGCTAAAAGAACATTAAATTACACAACCAAGGAATGGTCTTCTCTTGAAACAGCTCCTAAGACACTGGTTCCCACTTTAAATCAAGACAAAGAACAGCAAAAGGAAAATGATGGTTTTGCTTTTGTAAAGGTTAGACCTTTCTTTCTATTACAGTAATATGCAATGCTTTAAATTTATACTTAAAGTATTTTGTAAGAAATTTTCAAAAGTTTTTAATTTTTAGATAATTGTAATTTTTTTGGAATGGAGAATTTTATTACTTTTGGCCGGTTATCAAATCATTTGGTGCTTTCTAATTATCCACAACCCGCTCTTGAAAATTTTTTCCCAAGCTAACATGCAAAAGGCAACGGCCATTTCCAAAATGATGATGCATTAAGAATTCTATAAAAGGGCAGCAAGTCAATGAAATTTTTAAAAAAGCAAGGAGCGTCCATAATTAAACACTTATCTTTTTTAAAGAAATCCTTATGTAATTTTTTTGTTGTTTTCCCTATGTACTCAGCAGTCTGGTTTCACTTAAAAGAACTGCATGAATTTGGCACTGCACACTCTGCTCTCCCTTTATACACAGCAATCTATTTCTGCTTTAAAAAAAATTAATCTTGCCTAAAATCAGTATTTTGCATGAAAATTACATTTTTCTTGAAAATTTTTCCCATTGCATTTTTCCAGAAAATTTGATTATATAAGAAGTACACTCTCATTGATTATGAACTGATGGGCAAAACGTCATATTTCCGATGAAATGCAGTACAGTCAAATACCGAAAATCCGCCAACCTGAAATCCGCATTGCCTCTCAAAATATAAACATTTAGTTTATAGGTTCTGGTAACTGCAACATTGAGTACGAAATATCAAAGAAAAAATACTTGCCGAATAATGGCATCATAATTACCGAATAATAATGAGTCATAATGGAAATACCAAATTATTGACATCATGATAAAAGTTTTCCTCCCGCTAAGCTGCATCGAGGTAAGAAAGCAGACGATTCACTCAACTCTTCTTTCAAGTTCACGATTCATGTTGTTGTATTTTCTGAGCTTTGTTATTTCCCGAGATTATTTAGTGCTGCCTTTTTTTTCAATCCGTATATTTTGTGGATAAATTAAGAATATTTTAAATTTCAGCCCTTTTTAATACAATTACAGATAAGAAACGCAATCATGGTTTTACTGCTTGCAACATTGAAAAACATAAACACGTTGCATTGACGGTAATGCAAAAAGTGCAAATTCTGCAAAAGATGGAGACAGATGCATTTTATAGCAGAATCGTATGGAATTGCGATACGATTGTGTATGATATACAGAAAAAGAAAGAAAAGCTGTTGAAATTTTACAGCAACAGTGATTCTAACACTGGAATCCAAAACCGGAAATCTTTGCATGAGGCGAAATTGGCAAACCTCGATGCTGTGTACATATAGTACAATGAATAATATAATCAATTTATATATGTAATAATAATTTAATGCATATAATAATGTGTATAATTGCAATAATGTGTATAATAATTTAATTAAATGTATCTAATATGCCTTATTTATTTTGTACTTTTAGTCTGAATATTATGATTTATCTTCTCTGTCTTGAAATCTGCAAAATCCTAAAATCCGCACAACCTCTGGTCTCAAGCTTTGCAGATTTCTGGACTTCTACTGCACTTTATTTTTTTATCAGCCAGCAGCCTCCACAGTTCCTTCACAGTTTGTTAAAAGGAAAAAATGTACTAAAGCCAAAAACAAACAATAGACCACTGAATTTGGAGGGCTGCTCTTGTGCATACATGGGTTGCCATGTAAATATAATTTGGCAACGTAATGGGTTGCCACATCACTAAATTAATAATATTATGCTTTGCTTGATTTCAAGGGGTTTTCAGATAATCAGAAAGAAACAAATATTTATGTTTCAAAATGCAGGCTGGCTAAGATTTAATAATATTCTTGAGTTAATGATTTTTTCATTAGTCTAACCAAAATATAGAAAATCAATGTAAAATTATGCTGTATTAAAGATTTTCTGGTACTTTCAACTCCTCGCTTCCCTCCTGTTGTTGGCGACTAATTTTCTACCAAGCTAATATGTGAAGGATAACATCTATTTTCAAACTAGCGACTCGCTAAAAATTCTGTAAAAAAGTAATCAATTAATAAAATTAACAAAACAGGAAGCACTCATAATAAAATACTTATTATTTCCAAGAAATCCTAATGTAGTTTTTTTTGGACTGTTCTTCCCATGTACACAGTGATTTGTTTTCAATTAAGAAATATCAGATAGCTCAAATTTGGTATTGTATATGCTGTTGCTTTTCCCATGTACATACCCTCGCTCCCAAGAGAGGTCAACACAAAGAACTCTGAGAAACTACTCCCTAGGATCTGTACATAGCAAGTATTGGCCACAGAGAAATAAAATCATGAGCCTGGTGGTTCCCTGTAACCTGTGGGTGTAACCAGGTATGACTTAACCTGGTGGGCTCGATTTAACTTGCGTGGCCCGTAGGTCAAGGTGGAATAGCCCTGTGTTAGTTCCATAGTGGGTATCAGGCATCCCACATAGTTCTGAAGTGTACCTTGATGACCAGTCAGATTTTCAGGTGTACGTATTCGCCACCACTGTGAAACCTGTGAACCAGAAGTGGTGATCCTGCATGCCCAGGGGGTAGCAGTGGTTATAGAGAAACTTTTAAAGTCTGCCGCCTCAAACTGGGGTCCCATGGAAGTTGCATGATTAGCGTACAACTCACCTCTTGGGGAACTAAAGCTGGCGACCCACCTCCTGCCTGATATAGGGGCCTCTCAGTTGGGATCAATCCATGTAGTGTCAAACAGATGGAGCACAAAAGACAAACATTATGATCCCATGTACATAGTTATCTGTTTTAGTTTTAAAAAAATAATTGGAGAAAATAACAAATTTGGCTTCCCACATTCTAACAATTTATCTGCAATTTTTGACATTGCATTTACATGAAATGTCACCATTTAAGAACCAGCAACTTCATGAAATATGAATATTTGCATTCTCAACTATTGGGCAAAATGCAGTGTTTTCTGTTTCATCAGCTGGCAAATTATGTAGTCCGAAATTCGGACTTGTCGGGACTTCGGCGATTCTGGATTTGGGATTTTTCCGGATATTAGATCATCAATTTAAATCTAGTAAGATGGCATGTAGAAATAATAAAATTAAAAATATGAAATCGTAATTTATGAAATAGTGAAGTATTTATGATTTACAGAGTATCAAAATTTACAAAAAAAAAGTTTAATATTTATTTGTTTACCTTATTAGACATTTCTTTCAATGTAAGTTGCTTTGTTTTTAGTGGTAATACTTTCTCTTATATTCTGTTAAACAGACATAATCTCTTGTTTAGTTACATTGTTGAAGTCCTGTAACTGCTGTTTCGAGAATTCGGACTAACTTGTTAATTGAAATTTTCTCGTTATCAGTAACTTCTCTGTCACTTTTTTCAGTATCAGTAGCAGTATTTTCTGAATTTAGAACCATACAACAGATTTTGTCGTTAGTTAATTGATTGATGATTGGGGCATTGTCATCACAATGAAGAACTTTTTTTTATATCATCTTCCTTTATTACCACTTCTCCATATTTCTTTATAAAATCCGTTAATTGGAAAATTTCACCTTTGTTTTGCGATATCCGAAAACCTTTAATAAAATTAGCGGCTTTCACTGTACATATTTGGCAATGTATTATGAGCTTGGGGACTAATGACAAGTTGTTCTGTTAAATTTTATCTTGCTTCTATTGCACAATTAAGCCTGATTGTATTAGTTTAGTTATTTATTATACTTATGTCTATTTCTTGCACATGCTTAAGGCTTATCAGAGTTCTGAATAAATAAATTCCCACTTAAGCCTTATTGAAGGCCGGCACTAGATATCATACAGCCTGATGCAATTTCTGTGGGTCCTAAATTCTGCGGCCGTACGAGCCCTGGCGCTGGTTCTGGGTTTATGTGAATAACAAATCAGTTATTCGCAATTCAAATAGCCCTAAATATAATCTTTTGGTCTATGAGTATCGTTAACAAAATCTATTTTTAGAAAAACTTCTCCTCGTCAACATTTTGTAGTGCATTTAACTTAAATCTATAATCATCGCCAAGCATAATGTCAACATAAAAGGTTACCATACTCTTTATTATTCAATTCCTAACATAAAAAAAAAAAATTTAGGCATTGCTACATGAGTCATTACTCAAGTTGTCATGTTTTGATAAACATGCAGTGATCAAAAGAAAGTAAAATAAATAATGATTCACCAGGTTGGCGTCAGATCAACGATGTATCTATGGGGAATGTTTTGGTTTGAGATATGTGCCAAAGCAGATACGCAGCAACTGAGTGAAATTACTGATCGTACAAATTTATGCTAAAATGATTGTTTCTTCAATAACAAGGTATTTTATTTAGTGTCAAAGTGAAATTAAAAATTGGGACTCTCCAGATGTTTTATTATGCGGGGAGGAGGGAATTAAATGCGCATGCATAAAACCTACGAGAAAAATGGTTTTGGTGATTTTGAGGTCCGGATTTTAGATCATTCCGGGTAATGGACGTCCGGATTTTGGATTTTGTACTGTATTTGCTCTGGGTACAGTAAATGGCAGTTTGGTTCTAATTACATTTATTTCAGAATTTATGCCCTTTTTTTATTTTTCAAGTGTTCATTTTACTTTACCATTTCTGTAATTTTAATTTTCCAATTTTGGATCTTTAGTAATATGAGAGTGTACTGTATTTTTTTAAGTAAGATCTCCCTTTTTATTAATTCTAAAATTTGATTAGAAAGCAGTATTTTGGTAAATGCAATTATATAGTGATAAACATAGTATCATACTATATAGATTAATCAGACTGTTCAAGTATAAACTAAATCACACTGATAATTATTGTAAGATTTTCTTTCTCGGAATTTCTGCACAACATAATAAACCTTTAGCTATGTTTTTATTTCTTAACATTCATTCCAAAATGTAAAAAGGATGTTATTTTTGAGTTAGTACAGTAATCTGGTTTATTTTAGTTTAAAAAGGCTTTGTTTCTATATAGAAAAATTTAATTAATTGCTTTAAACTTTTATTGATAATTATGTTGTTATCTTTAATAATGTTAATGATTCTTTAATGGTAACTTTAAGTATAATGTATAATTTAGTTTTCAGGAATAATTTCAGGTGTAAAAATGGCCATATTTTCTGATTATCTGCACCCACACCAAAAAGTCACTAACTCATTGCTGACTTTCGAGAGCATATATAAGCTCATTGGCAACTTATTTTTTTCCAAGCTGATGTACAAAAGACAGCAACCATTTCCAAAATAACAGCACAGTAAGAATTCCATACAAGAGCAATTGATTAATAAAAAAGCAAGAAATATCCATACTAAAGCATTTATTGTTTCCGAGAAATTTTTTTTGCACCTTAGTTCTTTTTGTATGCACAGCAATATGCTGTTTTTGCTTAAAGAAATGCCAGAAAATTATGCAAACTTTATATCTGTGCAATTCAGCATTGTGTAGCAGCCAAAACAGATAACCTAGGTTGCCACATAAATACTTCTTTGCGACACTGTGAATTATTACATAACAATTTTGGGAACTTCCTGTTTTTCCTTACAAGTACCTTTTTGCAGCTTTTTCCGAAAAGGCTGCAGATAATCAGAAAGCACCAAAATGTAAACTGGAGATAATTAAAAGTAGTTTCACAGTATTCATAATTTACATAATTAATGATTAGATGTGATGAAGAAAAATGAAAAGTCAGTCAGAGAACTGCTTCTGTTCAGAAAATGAGATGGACATTAACTTTCTTTTAGTGCATTTTCAAGAAATTTAACTTTTCTTTCATTGCTTATATAACATTTTTGATTTTCATTAATAAGCATTTCTAATCTTATTTCAAAGTGTTGTTTATTGCATGTGAATTCTAAGTAAAATTTTAAAAAAGGTGTGGGTTGAAAATTAAAGATAATGTTTTACTCACTGATATTAGAAAAATGTTAATTGAACGCCTTCAGTGAATGAAGTTAGCATATTTAGAGCTATGATGCAAACTGATAAACAAAACAGAAGAAAAAAATTTCCACCCGCTCAATGGTGGGCACTAGCCATTGTATACATTGGCCGCTACTTTTAGGCCGGAAGCAAGGGTCACATTATTATGGAGATAACCAATAAGTGGGTCACCACTTTCTCCTATGAAGGCACAGATAATTTACATCCATGTCTTCTCCAGGATTTAAACCTGAGGTTCGGTATGACAGTCAGATCTTTTAACCACTTTCGCATCTGGGCAGCAAATAAACAAAAACTTTTTACTTAGCAATTATCTCAGCTCATATAAAAACTTTTTATCTCTGCGCAGAATTGTGTATTGGAAATTCTAAAGATAGGCTCATTTTAAAATTATTTTGCGACGTTGCTGTTGAACTGAATTTTATGGTTTAAGTGCAAAGAACATGATATTTAATAAGTAAAGGTAACACACAAAACGTTTAAAAAATGGCCCTTTGGATGTAATTTAAAATCTGAAACATTTCAGTTTTTTTTTTTTTTTTTTTTTTTTTTTTTAACATTTTAGCAACTAAATGTGTAATTAACCGAAAAAGTTTAACTTTCAGAATTAGCTGCGGATGGAACCAGAAGTTATTGCTATCTTTTAAGAGTTTTGCAGAACTAACAAAATGTCAGTAAAAGAATTCTTGGTACCAGATATTTCACTTAGACTCCTCTCCTTATACAGGAGGTGTTTTTAAGAAAGCAAGATATGTTTATAATAAACTGCTACTAGTTGTTTGTCAAACTCACTCAGAGGCTGATGAAAATTTTATAGTCTATGAATTTGTAGACATGCAGTACTGCAAGGAAGTGCTCACAAACAATCTTTAATGTAATGTACTGTTCAAATATTTTCAGTGATCAAACTCTGTAATCATATTTAGAGCAATCTTAATACTGTAAGAGCTAACTGTATAAAAATTATTAATGTTTGAAAGTGTGTTTATGTTAATTATGAAGATCTTTTCATTTATTTTAGGAAAAAATAATATTAGATCTGCCATCAAAGGAAAACAGTTCAAAAAAATATCAAATTTTAACAGGTAATTAATTATATTTCAATTTTTGTATTATTAATTTTTTATTGTATTAGATTTACATTTAGATTATATATCTGAAAACACATCTGATATGCTGAATATTGAAATGAAAATTCCTGGCATCTCCAACGTGAAGCATAATGTTCAGTGCTATAAAAAAAAGTACTCCGTGTGATTTTGAATAAATACAGTCAAAAGTCGTTAATTCGGACACCTATAATCCGGAATGATCTATAATCCGGACCTCAAAGCTTCAAACTTTTTGCGCATGCGTCGCGTTGACGCACGCGCGTAAGGCCTTTACGGCTGAGAATATGCTTGTGCGCATGCGCAAATTACGTTTACGAGTGCGCGTTTAATGTATAACGGACGGTAAAAGCTAAAGCTAAAATTATTTAATTATCTATTTCAGTTAATGTTGCAGATTGCGTTGTTTTTTAATCTTCGAATTGGATCCGGCTTATTATTTTTTGCAGAAGGTTAGAGCAATTTTTTAAAAGTAAGCTTGAACTTTCGATTATGTCAAATAGAATTTCTGATATATATTTATTAATATGTAAATGATCTACAAAGCGAAAGTATGTTTTGAAGTTCATTAAACAAAAAGTGAAATTGCTACAAAAAATGGATAAAGGCATATCCTTTGTTTATCTTTGTTGGCAGTGGTGATAAAGGCAAAGCATGTTTTGCTTCCCTTAAATAAAGCTAAGACTAAACTAAATAAAATTCTTGCTTTATTCCGTAAATAAAATAAAAAAAGCTAACACTGTAGCCTTTACATTTTAAAATCATTTGATTGAAAGCAAGATTGAAAGCAAACTACCATAATGCTAACTGATAATGACACAAGAGAACAAGAACACACAAGATTCGCCGATCTTGACGTCATCGGCCAATCAGCGGCAACCACGTTAGCTTACCACCGATCGACCTCCAATCAAAATTTCCATGTGGAAAACTAAAGCCAACAAATGGCCCTCTTTTCCCCATGCAAAGACAAAAACAAAACTTTCACAGAAGTTCATAGTTCAATTCTATTCTACGAAAACACTTATTGTCTTTAAACACTGAAAACATCTAAACAAAACTTTCCTTAAATTAACAGCAGTCGCCGCTTTTGTAAATAAGTCCGCAGTATTTAATTTACTGGTGATAAATTCAAGGTCAAACACTCCATCATTTACTAGTCTTCTAATAAAGTGATATTTTATGTCTATGTGCTTAGTTCGGCGATTTTCTAATTAGCGATCTAGAAAAATCAATGGCAGACTTGTTATCACAAAATAGTTTACATTCTCTTAAATTAAACTTTAAAATTTCATCTTGTAAGACATTTTTCGTCCACATTAATTCCTTCGCTGCTTCAGATAAGGCGATATACTCCGCTTCCATGGTTGATAAACTTACACAGTTTTGTTTAACAGTTTTCCAGATTACCGGTACTTCATCTAAATATAATATAAATCCTTCCATGGACACGCGGTCATCTCTATTGCTTGCATAATCAGCATCTGAATAACAATATAAATTTAGATGTTTAATCTTCGATAAGTTTAACTGATATAATTTAGTACTATTGAGATAACCAAGCAATTTCAACAATGCTTCCCAATGCCTAATTCCAGGATTCTCCTGAAATTGTGATAAGATATTCACTGCATATGTAATATCAGGCCTTGTCCTGTTAGCTACAAAAACTAAACATCCTAACAGATTTCTAAAGGGTAATGTGTGCATTTCCGCAACTTCTGCACTTGTAGATGGACAATCTAATTTTGTAAGAATAGTGCCCTTAGCTATGGGAAGTGAAGTTATTAGTATCTGGAAATGTTTAAATTTTTCAAAAATTTCTTCGATATATTTTTGCTGATGTATAAAAAACCCATTTTCATTCTCTAAGAATTCAATTCCGAGTAATGTTTTAGTTTTGCCTAATACTTTAAGATCTAAAAACTTACTCAGCTGTGAAATTACTTTATCTATACTATATTTATCTTTACTAAAAATCACAATATCATCTACATATAACAATTAATATATAACAAGAGAAATTACATTTGAACCTTATAAACACAATTACACCATTGTATTTTCTTAAAATGTAGATTTTCTAAAGTACTTTCAAATTCGCAAAACCATTCACGGCCGCTTTGATGTAGACCGTAAATGGCCTTGTGTAATAAACACATTTTATTTTTCTCTTCGATAAATCCCTCTGGTTGGGTCATATATATTTTCTCATTTAGGTTTGCATATAAATATGCGTTCTTTACATCTAACTGAAAATTACTCCATCCATATAAACATACCAGGATAGTGAAAAATATTCTTATGATTGAAAAATTTACTACAGGACTGTAAACGTCATCAAAATCTTCACCTCTTTTCTGCCTGAATCCCTGTGCTACTAAGCGGGCTTTGTATCTAACCACTTGATTCTTTTCATTTCTTTTTAGTGTATAGACCCATTTGTTTCCTATTATAGTTTTATTTTCTGGTTTTTTTGACTAATTCCCAAATCTTTCTTTTCTTTATTGTCTCGATTTCTTCTTTAATTGCCTTATCCCATTCTTTGGCATTTACTGATTTTCGTGCTTCTTTAAAATTTTGTGGGATAACTATTTCTACAGAATTTGCCTCTTCAGACACAGAGCTAATCTCCTGTTCTACGAAATTAACTTTCCCCGAGTATTCGTTTTTCCACTAAAATCGAACTTATCTTTTTCATATTTAATATTTCTTGCCTCACAATACTTTTCAATATCATTATAGGATCTAAAACGGGTGTCTGTTCCCTCTACATAATAATATATGTCTGTACGTGTTCCATCTGGCCTTTTAAACTGCTTTTCTTTGCCAGTTTAAGTCTGATACTTCTTTCAGAGTAGATTTGTCATCTGACAACTTTATTTCTTCTCTAGAAATTTCCTGTTCTTCATCTGATTCTGCTAATAGCTCAGATTCTTCTAGTCTTTTAAATTTAGGTTTTGATTTCTGTTCCAGGATGCCATTTGCTGCATACAGTTTTTCATCGAACTTCACATTACAGGTTTCTATTAATTTGCGTTCTTCTGGCAGCCATATCCTATAACCCCTAGTTTCCTTCGCATATCCTACCATGATTCCTTCTTTGCACCTCATTTCTAATTTATTCCTAATCTGTTTTGGCACGCCAACATAGGCTTTACAACCAAATACTTTAAAATAAACAACACTGGGTTTTCTATTTAGGAACATTTCATAAGGGGTTTGGTTGCTTTTATGACATACTCTGTTCCATGTATGTACGAAACAGCCAAGAGCTTCTGCCCACCATTCTTTTCCCATTTTACCATCATTAAGCATAGCTTTAACTGCGTCTAATGCCGTTCGGTTAAAACGTTCACACACACCTTTCTCTTCTGGGGTGTACGCGTTCGTGCGTTCAACACTAATTCCATTTTCGGCTAAGTACCCTTTGAATTGCCTGTTACAGAATTCCCCACCATTATCGGTGCGTATACTTATTAATTTTCTATTCGTCAGTCTTTCCATTTGCCTATGATAATTTTTAAAGTTGTAGAACGATTCGTTTTTATTTTTCATACAATACACTGTTACTAATCTACTATAGTCATCTACAATAGCAAGAAAATATTTACTCCCACCCTTAGATGGAACTGGTAGTGGGCCACAAACGTCTAAATAAACCAACTGCAATGGTTTATCCGATCTCTTCGGAACAGATTTTAAAAGTTATTCTACTAGATTTAGCAACAATACAATGTATTTACACCTCTCTATTGGTTTTTCAATTTCTGGTAACCCTTTCACTCACGCTTTGATTCTTACTAGTTTGCTTAATATAATCAAAATTTACGTGGCTAAATCTCCGATGCCATAGCATTGCATATCGTCTACTTTTCATTTAACTTTCCAATTTCTGTACCGTAACCAGCTTCCCTTTTACCTGTTGCATATCTAAATGGTTTTACGTGATAAAGTCTGTCATATCGTTTAGCGTAGCATAATCTATCCCAATTATTAAAGTATATCAACATCTTCCCTTTTGAAATCACAAAATGAGCACCAGCCTTTTCTAAGCTTCCTCCCGATAATAAATTTCTTCTTAGATTTGGATTATATAACGCATTATCTAAATCCAATTTATTCGATTGCCTACTTTTACTGCAAATTTGTCAGTACCCTTTCCTAGTACTTTACTTTCACAATTTCCTACAGCTAAAGACATACGTATATTGTTTATTTCTTCAAAATTTGTCATTAAATTTCTATTATTACAGAAATGAGTTGTAGCTGCAGTATCTATGACCCAATTAAATTTATCTGCGTTGCCTCCTTTTTCTGTAGTTGTTACATAATTTTCTACTAACATTAATTCTTTATCTTTAAACTGTCCATTTTTATCGTCTATTTTAAACTTCTGATTTTTACTTACATTTTCTTTACATTGAGCAATTAAGTGCCCAAATTTATGACATCTGAAACAAGGTCCTATTCTCATATTCCCCATTTTTTTCTTAGATTTAATTTTATTTTCAACTTTATCTTTCCCTGCGTTTAAACTAATAGTATTAAACACGCTTACCTTGCTGTCTTCTAAATCAGCAATTACCTGGCGAAGTTGGCTTTCTTCTCTTACCAGTTCTTCAGCAATTCTTTCCAGCGTAAAATCTTCGTCCTCCCACCTATATATCAACTGTACAATGCAGGAGTATTCCTGGGGTAATCTCCTTATTGCCTGGAATCCTTTAAAAAGATCTGCCAAGTTGTGACCAGCTTCAGCCAACTTCTTTGCAGTCATTCTTATTCTTGCGATGAATAATCCTATTTCTTCATTTGGCGTATATCTAATACTAAAAAATTCATCCAGTAACTGGATTATCCTTGCTCTTGTTTTGGGTTCGAATTGCTTCTGTAGAACTTCCCATGCTTCTTTACCACTTGAACATTCTTGTATCAGCGGCCTGAACTTAGCTTTAATTCTGTAATATAATGTAGTG